GTATGACAGCCGTGGATGGAGTGGTGGAAAGTCAAAAGGAAACAAGGGAAAAGGAAAGCCTTACAACTACAAAGGAGACCAGAAAGGCAAAGTCAAAGGTAAGGGTAAGACAAAAGATGGGAAGTCCGGTCAGAAGGGCAAGCAACAGAAAGGTGACTACAAGGGCAAGTACAGCGGGAAAAGTGATTCAGGGAAAGGCAAGTCCAGCAAAGCAGATATGACTTGTCACAAGTGCGGCAAAGTCGGGCATTTTGCTCGAGACTGTTGGTCCAATTCTGTGCGCAACGTTCAGGCAGAAAGTTCACAGCCATTGCAGCCAAGTCCAACAACAACGGTTGCTGGATCTCCTTCTTCAGCTGCAAGTTCACAGATGCCAACAGTTTCCCAGCAAGGACGTGTCGCAAGAATTCGGTTTTCAGATGTCACACAGTTTTCAGATATTCCAAGACATGATGATTTTGTGTTTGACATGAGATGTCCTAGCAGTGAAGCCTATGCAACTGATGGGACAGTGCGTGTAGTGAGATTCTACATCGGTGATGAGCCCAATGCCTCAGACTCTAGCAGTGAGCCTTGCAGTGCGGTGAGAACGGTGATTGAACATGTTCCTGAAGAGTGTGATATGCATAGCATTTTACTTGACTCAGGGGCTGATGCATCGATTTTCCCAGCGTCGATGTCAGAACTTGGTGTGCCCTCCAGCGTGTCTCCAAGCTGCTTGCGTGATGCTCAGGGATGTGATATTCCACTTCATGGCATGAAAGATGTTGAAGTTCATTTGATGGACATGCATGGGCACTCAGTGGTTTTGAAAGAGACAGTTGCGTTGAGTGACAGGATTTCACAGCCCATCCTGTGCTTTGGAAAACTGCTTGAAGGTGGTTGGTCAATCAATGGTGTTGAGCAAACGATGACACACAGGTCAGGGATTGCCATTCCAATTGAAATGCAAAACCGCTCCATGGCCATACGTGGTTGGGTGCGCATGGTGAAGTCTCAGCCTGAGATCTTGGGTCAAGTGAATATCAGAGCAGTGCGTGCTGATGTGATGGACTATTTAGCAGACATGCGTGTTGGATGGAGTTTGAACGGTGATGGTGTTGGAACAGGAAAGCACTATGCCTCATGCTACCAGGACCCAAGCCTTGCGTGTCCAACAATGTCAGGTCGAAAATACAGGACCACTCTGATTCAGGATCAGAACCAATGGCTGGTCTTGGAGTTGTGTGAACCTTTGGATGGGGTGATTGACTTGTCAGCAGAGTTCCATGGTTATGAAGGTGAACGTTTTGTGTTGACCATAATCACAGAAGCAGAGCGTCCTCCAGAAGTCATGGGTTTTAGGATGTTAGATGACAATGAGATGCCTCTTGCTGAGCTTGGTGCAGGTGCCTTACACCGTGATCCCCATGCAGCAGAACCTGCAGTTGCAGCGCCCCTTGCGCCAGATGATGAGGTTCAAGGTGTTGACATTGAGGTGGATGAACAAGGTGGTGAAGGTCAACAGGTTCCACATGGTCATTTGGTTTTGGCACCAGAACGTGGCGATCACTTGAATGTCAATGGTGTTGAGTTGTTCAGGGATTCTGCACTGGCAACTTTGAGACAGGGATGTGCCTTTTATGGTTTGTCACAGTCAGGGGCCAAAGAGCGTTGTTTCAAGCGGCTTTGGGAACATCAAAAGAAGTTGGAGCTGCAGACAGCACTTACTGCAGCACGTGAGACTGAAGCTGAACAACAACGTTTGCCCAATCCTCAGCCTCTTGCAGAGCCTCCAGATGACAGAGCCATAGCCTTGCACATGTTGACACACCTGCCCTTTGCAGATTGGTGTGCTGATTGTATATCCCATAGAAGCCGTCCAGACCGTCACAAAAGGGATGGATCAGTGAAAGACTCAGGCATTCCAACAGTTTCGTTTGATTTTGCCTACACCAAAGCAGTGGAGCCAGGTGGAAACGTTGCCAAGACTGATACAGTCATTGCCCTCATCCTTGTAGATTCCTCTACAAACTACACTGGTTGTGTGCCGATACGTGGAAAGAATGATTTTGATGTGATGGTGAGGGAAATCATTCAGTTCACTCATGTCCTTGGCCACTCGGAATGCACCTACCTTTGTGACAATGAGCCTGCAATCAAAGAAGTTCAGAAAAGAGCTGTGAGAGCGCGCAAATCCATGGGATTTGTCACACATGACAAGACGCCAGCTGCATATACACATGGGAACAGCTTGTGTGAAAACACTGTAGGTCGTGTCAGAGGACTTGCAGGAACCCTCATGCACCATGTCCAAGAGAAGTTGTCGATGAAGTTGAGTACAAACCATGGTTTATGGAGCTGGGCCCTCAGACATGCAAGTTGGTTGTTGAACAGGTTTGCAGTGGTGAACGGTAGCACCCCGTTCGAGCTTGTTTACCAAAAGGTCTACAAAGGCCGTATGACAGAGTTTGCAGAGCCAGCGTTTGCATACACCCATACAGCACTGAAAGGGAATCCAAAGTGGCAGCGTGTGATTGTCTTGGGGAAAACAGAATCACAAGATACATACGTGGTTTTCACCGGAGCTGCAGTCATGCTCACACGCTCAGTGCGCAGAGTTTCAACGGACTGGAAGAACCACTTAGGATTTTACCTTCACTTCAATGCACCAACATGGAAGTTCAAGACTGGTTTTGGTGGCAGAGTTGTGCCAACAAAGAGAGCTGTTGAAGGTATTTCTGCAAGTTTCCAAGCGCCACAGGGAGATGTCCTGCCTTCTTCTTTTCATGATGCAGAAGCTGAAGCCGTTAAGAACAAAGCTGCAGAAGAAAAGTTGGAAGAACGTGAAATGGTTTCCATGGGCCATGAGGACAAAACCTTTGACCCTCGTGACAAAGCAGTAGCCCATGAACCTGCAGTACCAAGGCTGAGCCAACCTGTAGCCTTGGACATTCCTGAAGGTCCTTCTTCTGCTGAGCCGATGCGTAGACGTGAAGATGAGGTTGTCGTGGATTCAGTGTTTGATGATGATGCAGTAGATGCTTCTTTTCTTACGGAAATGGAAAACCAAGTGGATTTGACTTTTGATGGTGGAGAAGCTGCGCCTGTGACCCCTCCAGTTGGTCCCATGCAATCTCCTTCAACTCCACGCCTTGCTCACTCCACTAGGATGCATGACAGCCAGGACGATGCAGACCATGAAACCAAGAAAGCCAGAGTAGCAGACCACAAGAAGCAAAAGATTAACCAGTTGATGCAACAGCATGGAGCCATGATACGTGTTGTGAAAGTTGGAACAGATGAATTTGCAACGATGGATGACTACTCCACAGAACTTGACATGAACGCTGATGTGTTGGAAGATGAATACTGGTGTGATGAGGATCAAGTGCAATTGGGTGAAGTTCCAGATGCACTGTGGTCAAACCTCCCGTTAGACAAGCCTCCTTCAAACCCTGAACCTTGGGTTGATCAACTGGCAGATGAAATCGAAATACAAAGGTTGCTTGAGATGGGAGTTTTACAAAAGCGTGAAGAATGCACTGATGAGGTTTGTGGAAGCCTTACCACCAGATTTGTCTACGACTGGAGAGTTAAGCAACACAGAAATGGACAGCAGATGTGGATGCGTCGGAGCCGTTTCGTGGCCCGAGAGTTTGCAAATGTGAAACGCCATGACACATACTCACCAGCAAGTGGCAGCCACACAGCCAACTTAGTGCCTTTGGTTTTTCTGAAGATGATGTCAGAAAGTTTGGAAAGTGGCTCAGGCAGTTCAGACTATGATGTCACTTTGGCGTCTCTGGACATCAAAGATGCCTTCCTCCAAGTTCCTCAGGAGGAGATCGTTGGTGTTTCTTTACATGGAAAAGAACTGGTAATCAAAAGAAACTTGCCAGGTCAGCGTTTGGGAGCAAAGGCATGGTACTGGTACTTTCGCAACTACGTTGCCAAATGCTTTGAGTGCGAGTGGTGCAGTGAACAACCATGTTTAGCAAGGTGCACCTACGAAGGTATTCACAATGTCTTCATGATTCACGTGGATGATTTGCTTTTTGCTGGAAGTAGTGACTTTTGGAACAACAAATTCCTTCCTGCAATGACCGAGCGTTTCAAGGTGAGCCACAGTGAGTTGAAAGAGAATGGGTCTTCCATCTCATTCTTGAAAAGACGTTTGGTGAAACTTGAAGATGGTTTGATGATTGTCCCGGGCACCACAGTGGAGAAAGTTGTTTCATGCTTTGAGAAGCACTTTGGTTCAGCCAGGGGACAAAAGGTGCCTTGCGATGCTGGTATTCAAAATGAAGACCACTCCCAACCTTTGAGCTTGAGTGACAGCAAAGCTTACAGAAGTGTGATTGGTTTGTTGCTTTATGCTGCACGTGAACGTGTAGACATAATGTTTACAGTGAAAGAACTGGCGGCCACCATGTCAGCACCTACACTTTGTTCCCTCCAACGTTTGCGGAAACTGGTTGGTTACTTGAGAAGCAATGGAGATATGGGCATCAAACTACAGGTGCCACGCCATGGAGAGGGAAAATGGAAAACAGGAGGTGAAAGATTTTGGATGCTCGAATCTTTTACAGATGCTGACTGGAGCGCCAACAAGAAGCACCGTAAAAGCACAAGCAGCGCCATCCACTTCATCAATGGAAGTTTTGCACATGCCTCAGCTCGCACCCAGCGAGTAGTGTCCCTTAGCTCTGCAGAAAGTGAACTCCACAGCATGGTCTCAGGTTGCTCTGATGGAATTTACCTGCGACGTTGCCTTCAGTTTTTGGTAAATGAACCAGTGGAGCAGGTGCAATGGACAGACAACAGTGCGGCTCGGCAATTGGTATGCCGACAAGGTGTTGGCCGTATCAGGCACTTGAGCGGCAAACTTCTTTGGGTTCAAGGTCTTGTTTTGGAAAAGGAAATTTCGGTGGGACAAGTGCCAACGGAATGGAACTACTCAGACATAGGTACAAAACCTTTGAACAGAACCAGAATGCTCATGCTGCTCAACCAGATAGGTGCCATCGACCCTACCTCCTTGCGTATGGTGGGACAGGAGGAGTTCGAAGCCGTTTCAGAAAGGATGTTTTCTCAACAAAACCTCAAAAGGATTTCCAAAGCAATCTTGCGGATGAGTGCACTTTTGGGCCTTGAGTCAGTAAGTTTGACTGGAGCCGAAGCAACAAAAATCAGCGAATCCGCTGAGCTTGGTGAGACATGTGAACTGGCAGCACAACATGCCAGTGACTCCGGTGAAACGTTTTGGCTATGGGTCGTTGTTATTTGCATGGTCTTACTTTGGATCATCTTTGCGCTGATGGTTTTTCGCACGTTCAAGAAGCTCTCAAAGGAAATGGAAGATTGCTGGAGACAAGCTGCTGAAGAAGATGCTTTTTCGGGAAGACTCGAACAACGTATTACTGGTTTGGATCAGAGGGTGGAATTTGCTGAAGGACTTGCTGAGAGAAATCGAAGTGAGTTACATGAAGAAATTCAGCAGGTCAGCAACGAAGTCAGCATGACCCACGACTATGCCTCTGGACTCCATTATTACATTGTTGAGAGCGGCGGTTATTTGAGGAACGGGCTTGGTTTAAGCCACCAGCAATGGACACATCTAGTGACACTGGAACGTGCCAACCTTGTAGCCTCCAGAACAATGGGATCAGTGGAATATATGAGGTTAGTCAGGCAAAGAGGAAATCCAATTGGACCTGCAGATACTACAGATGAAACAGTTGCAAATGCAGAAGAATCAGAAAGCGCAATGTCAGACCAAGACATGGAAATCGACCCTGGTACAGCTTCACCAACAGCTGGACGACCAGGTGTACCACAAACAGTTTCAGAGATGGTGGATCTTTTGAAGGATGAACATGAAATTTGTTTGGAAAACGGATATTTCTGGGATGCAAGCGCAATCCAGAACCTTATCCTGGAGTTCCTACAGATGGTGAGAGATGGAATCACTGAAGTCTTGGTTGCGCGATGCAAAGCAAGGATCCATGAAGTTTTCATAGAGCTGAGCACCAATGCACCAAGAGCCAACCGAATCAATGCACAGAACCGATACCAAAGAATCGCAGACATATACCCAGTTTGAAGCAGTGGAAAATTTTCTTTACTCTGGAAGTGCTTTGTCAGCAACAATGGCTGACAATTTGCTGGAAAGAGATACAAAGGTGGAAAAGTGATCGAACGCTCACTATTCCAAGGAGGAGTGCGTAAGATTTGCATTCCCCTGCACAAGGATGACACTAGCACAAATCGAGATGAGTGTGCCATAGTTCAGTCATGTACACATGAATAACATGTGGATATATCCGAGGCCCTCTTGGCTTGAAAAAGGCGTGCAGCCCGCTTCGCAGTACAGAAAATACAGATCCAATTGAAGAAGTTCCAGGACATCTTGAGCAAGCAGAAGAAGAATCACCGACGTCAGATCCAGAAACTGACGGAAATGATGGAGGAAATGCACCATCTGGGTTGGAGAGGCTTCTGCATAACATGCGGTCAGATCAGAATGCTGCATTAGCCAGAGAGATGTGGCACGATGCAAGCGAGATACAGCATGCAATAGTGGCCGCATTGGAAGCTTCATCGACTTCAGCTGGATTGAATACAGAGACAATGAACAGAATCAGAAATGTGTTCCAACGGTTATACCGTTACCACAAGAAAAGAGGCAGTGATGAAAGACGTGACCGTTACAGACTGTATGTCGAAGACATGGACAGCATGATGGTATGAATTCAATTTTGGAATACAAGCAATGCAGAAACAGAGAAAAGTTCTGATTATGCGTTGGAGAAGGCAGCAATATGTTGCCAAAAGAGCTGAGCGCTCAAGTGGCAAAGGAGGAGTGCGAAGTACTGTGCAGCCTACTCACATGACCCATGCACAAGGATGACACGCACAAATCATGATGAAAGATGCAGTTGTCACTACATGTCATCACTCATGGAAACCATGAGAGCTTGATGCATTCGAGACCCCTTTGGCACAAAAGAATGCGCGCCGCTGTTGGCCGTTTGTTCGCACCATCGAAACCGAAAACAATGAACACTGGCATTTTTTTTTCTATTTTAGCTGGTCATGACTGCCCTCCAAAGTTTTTTGGTTCACAGGGGTGTGTGTGTCTATGGAAACATTGTGGTAATTGGTTTGTAGTTGTGCTACACGGGTTGGACATCCATGGCCGTATGTCTTTATCCACCACACATCTTGGATGGTTGGTTGCCCACGAAGAACAACATTTGGTAGGTGTGTGAGGTGTATGTTCGCTTCTGGAAACAAAGGGTTCCAGAGATGGTGCAATGAACAGGTGCCCTTTGCAGTGGTTTCATTGCAAAAATTGGTGCATTGAAACATTGTACCGGATGTCCTATGTTTGTGTGAGGCTTGCAAAACCCGTCGTGCATGAAATTTGCACAAACCAGGTGGTAGTGACTCTCCAGGCGTGTTGGGTAGCCGTGCAAATCATTATTGGAAATTTGAAAAAATGTCAGATGTGAATTCACCATGTGATTTCACACTCAACCAGCGCTCTGCCAAGGCATGCGTCAAAGAGTTGGTGGAAAACTCTTTGGACGCCAAGGCCACTCGAATCGAAGTTCGCCTTGGTGATTCTGGCGCGGAACTCTTAGAGGTGCAATGACTATTCTGGCTCTGAAACTATGCCACAACTGGCACAACAGTTCATTTTGCACATTGTTTTTGGATTTATATGCATTTATCACGTTTGAACGTGTTTTGCCGTGTTTGACAAATCAAAATTGTGCTAATCAATTTCGTATTGTCAGCTGGTTTGATCTACATGTTCCCTCTCTCAACTGGTTCAATTATGAAACCGTTCGCAGAACAATCTTGCAATTAAAAGGTGATTGACAATGGCCATGGCATTTCCGCGGAAGACTTTGAGAAGGCCAAATCATTTTGTTCCCATTTTCATTCATCGAAAGACAACCAGAAACAACTGCCAGCATTTTGTCTCCATTTAAGAAACACTGCACAATTTTGGGAAAAACCATGTCTGCCATGTCTGGGGTGTGCCATGACTTCAGGTGGCTTCAAGGCATGCGACCTCCAAAATCCGTCAATATACAGATTTGAGCCCTTCGATTGCCTTCGACTGGTCGAACGTGGTGTGATTTCTGGTGTTTCTTTCGAACCATATGGGAAATTAACAAAAAAATCGGGTTGCAAAACAATTCAACAACATCATTCATATATGATTGCTTTATATCCGTTCAGGTTTCGTACTGTTTCGTCAATTTCACCCAACTGTTTTTTACATCATGACACGTTGCACCGTTTGATTTTTTGGTAAAAAACATGGCAAACTGAATGAACATCATGATCCTTAACTTAAAAAACATGTTTCATGATCCTTAACTTAAAAAACATGTTTTGCACCTGCAGACGAGGTGCTTTTAACGAACGGATTGCACTGAATACTTTGAAACATTTGTGATTCCAACAGAATGGCACATTCCTTGCTCCCAGCGGTCCCAGTGTATGGGTTACCAGCGGTTACCATGTGGCACTTTGGTGACCAAGGTTCTGGTGAGTTTTCAAGTTTCGGTTTCCGTGGAGAAGCGCTTTCTGCAATCAGCGCGATGGGTGACATGACGATCGCCACCAAGACTCCAGAGTCCGCTGCATTTCCGCAGCAGAAAGATCGACATTTGTGCAGTTGGTTGGTTTGGAGAGTGTCATGGAGTGAAACTGAGGCATCATTGCTCTGCTACGTGGTTTGGATGCAATTGATTCTGTCGTAGATTGAACACTGCTGATAGTGCTACCCTCTGGTAATTTGACACAACTATGAAAAATCAGCACTTCAACAGGTGAATCGTCTATCAGTGCGCAATTTGTCATAACTATGTCACTATGTCAATTTACTGGAGGGTATCTGATCTCGCTTCTCAGCCGATCTTGGGTCTGTGATATTTTGGCCCTCAGGACAGGTATGGAAAGTTGGTGAGCTCTTCGCCCATTGCACGCGAAGTTGGAACAACGGTATCTGCAGGTGGCTCAGCAAATTGCCCTTGAAGCTGGTGGCTGCAAGCAGCGACGATAGCAGCGCGACAGCAGCGATTTGAGGTCAGGGAGCTGTTCAAGCGCCTTCCGGTGAGGCACAAGGAATTTATGAAGAACGCCAAATCCCAGGCAACTTGTCGACGGACATTTTTTCACAATGGTCTAGAGAGCAACCGCACACCACCTGGAACTCTTTCCAGTGGTCTTGGTCCAAGGCAGAGAATTATTCAGAGATATTAAAATTATATAAAAATTATATAAGATTTATATTCCGGTTTACCAAGTTTCTGAAGAAGTTCTCGACGAGTTTACCGCGACAGGTCAGCGCAACTCTTCGACTGATCCAGTCCTATGCCATTGCACAGCCCCAGGTGCGAGACGCAACATGTTTTTGGACAGTTCTGAGGTTCCGGGACCGGGCAAAAACCAAGTGGGAAACTTTCAGATTTTGGGTGACTTGTAGAAAGTCTGAAGTATCTGCAGTATATATATATATAATATATATATATATATATCCCAGCATTTTCAGACTCATGAGACTCATGCGAGACTCGTGGGTTTCAACTGGTTCACTCGGTTTCACTCAGGTTCGCTTCAGCGTCGTGGCTGAGAAGCGCTGCAGTGCCGGCGGGGGCCGCGCCACGTTGCTCTGCACCTCAGGCGAAGCGTGGCCGAAGCATGGCCGGGGTGCCGTCACCACTTTTTGGGACTTGTAGGCCTGTAGGTTACACTGAGTTACACTTCTTATATATATATATATATGTATATATTTAAAACATTTTAAAACATGTTTCTTACTTTTTTGTTTTTCATCATTTTTGGTATGTTTGAAGAATATTAGCAAGAGATCATGGTATCCGCACAAGAACTGACACATGCCCGATACATGTAGATGATACATCTTTGTGACACGTGGAGGGTGGATTGCGATGACTCGTACCAAGAGGTCAGTTTTGACAATACCATACTGACATGATACAGTGGAATGAATGGATTGGCGTTGTGTTGCATATGCGGGTGCATAGTGCCGTTGCAAAGGAGGATTGCACTGAACACTCATGACTACTGTGTATTTGGATGAGAAATGATCCAAGAAAACTGAGTTCATCGAGTCTATTGAAAGAAACTCATACAATGAGTGCAGGTGTGTGCCATCCATCCCTCAAAACTTTGTGGCAAATTTTGAACCACCAGATTTTGGAATTTTGGATCTTCCATGATCTTCCCATTTCCACCATCTGTGCCATTCTGTGCCATGTGGATCAGGAACAGCAACTGACTGGCACCAGGCGGGGTAGATTGCTTTACCAGGGTCTTGAACACTGAAATGGGTATGGGCGGTACGGGCCCAAATGATCAACTTTGCAAAATGGCTGGTTCAGTATAAGGATTAGAGAATATATAGAAAAATATTTGAGAATCTTCGAGACTTCAAGTTTATTGGGCCCCTTGGAGCATTGGTACATCGATTGTGATCCATCCCCCTGAAACACAGAGGCTGCAGCAGCAGTGCTGGGCGACGCAGCGCTTGCAAAGACGCAAAAGATTTGCGTCAATGCTGGTGGTTGGCAAGTTGAAGGCGAGACCCAAACACCTGAAGTGACTGCAATCAGAAATTACACCCTGAAGCTTTCTCCCCATCAACGTGGTTGGATAACTTGCAGAACCAGCAATATTGGTAGAAACATGTAGAAACAGTGTCAAATGCAGATACTGCACATAGAATACGTAGTGTCTGCAAATGCAGAGTTTTTTCAGGACACGACTTGGGTGACTTGGGTTGGATTGTGTAGTCGTGGCACGACGATGGCTGGAGGTTTGATCTCTTCGCCGATGGCTGGACGACGGTCCCGCGATGCCCAGCTGTTTTTTGTGAATGGGCGTCCGATCGACCCGCCCAAGCGAGTGGCCAAACTGATCAACGTGACTCGGCACCGTTTTGTGTTGAAGAAATGGTACAAACTGGTACTAGATTCACTAGATGCATCTACTAACTACTAGATGCATAAAAAGAGCCAACTACCCTCGATACTGTTCGACCATAAAACTGTGATGGCCTCAATAGCCTCGATGAGGACACCTATCATCAGTACAATTCGCGGGCCTGGCCTTTGCTGATCCTGGCCTTCACAGCTCCTCAGGCGCAACGGTTACGACCATGGTACCATGGTCACGACCATGGTCACCCTTCATCAGTTGGGATATAACCGAAATGACGTCAATGATGTACCCATTTATACGGCCTCCACTACCAGCTCCCAATGTGGATGCTGTCCTGTTGCGTGCCTTAAAAATGCGTGACAGGGCATGGTTGACGTGAATGTTACTCCTGACAAGAAGACTGTCTTCTTGCACCAGGAGGCGCAACAGTTGTGCTTCTTTGTGGCAATGACAACCAGGAATATCCTATAGTAATCCCATGTAATCCCAAAAAATAATAAAGTAGACAAGAAAAGCCACAACCTAGTAGAACAGGGATGCATCACCTTTCTACCACTTTGGGGGTTTACGATGTGTATGTGAAGCGAAATGGTGAAGTGTGATCATTAGCGGACAAATAACAACTTTACTCTTACTCGGTTTTACGTCAAAACATCAATAGAGTTTCCAGTTCCTATTTGTTCATGGAAACTGACTTCACCTTTGAGTCGCTCTCTCGTGCTTCCATCCCATGCTGCTCTTAGTGCGCTGGGATTGCAACAGACACCCTCTGGCAGACGTGTCGGGCTGGAAAATCATCAACAGATGGAAAACTTGATGGGATTCATCTCCGATCAATGGTGGGATCTGATGGGATTTTCCAATCTTTCCACCTTTGACGAAACAAAAAGCCATGGAATCCATATGGATCCGACGTTTACACCAGTTTCCAGCCATGTTTTTCCGAGGTTTTTCCGATGGTTTTTCCCAGGAGCTGCTGCTTGCGGGGCTTCAGCCAGCTCTGACGGAGCTCTTTGCAGCCCCGGAGCTTCACCTGGGCGGTTCGCTCGGGGACTTCGGTATCCGGTACCTCGGCGAACATCTGGAACAGCCAACAAACAGCTTGTTAAGAATGATCTGGTTAATTTGCTGGTTAATAAGATGTTAATGCCAATCATGTTTGATCATGTTTCAGCACGGGTAAGCGAGCTTCGTGGTTCGTGGTTTTTTCACATGGGTTATGAACGTGAATCATGCTGAATAATGGATACTGGTGAATCATGGTGAATCATTGATGGGGATATCATGCCAATCTTTGTCATTTTCAGATGGCCACCAGCTGACCAACTGTGTGGTGTTGACGTGACGTGCTGCCGAAGGCCACGGACTGCTGCTGGGAGCTTGGAGATCCAGTTGGGTCATTGGTTGCCCCGGGTGCAGGTGGAAGGATTGGGATGTTTCTCCAACATACCATGGGAAGAGCCGATTTTTTTCATCTCCGTTCTGGACAGCAGACAGCCTTTCTACACATTGCGTTTGGTTTCCAAAAGGATCCATTTCTTCACTACACTCTGTAAAATAGCCGATAAACCACCGAAGTGAGAAGAGAAGAGACGATAAGATAAGTGAAATAGAGTAAAATGACGAAGAGAGGGGACCTGAAGTGAGAACAGAAGGGAAGAGAAGAAAAGATATGTGAAGTTACAAGAAGAAGAGAGAAGAGAAGAAAGAAAGAAGAAAGCAACGAAACAAGCAGCTAGAATGAAAAACGCTCTTTCCTTTCATCCCCCTATGAGCTCAACAAAGACATGAACAGAATTAGATTCAAATGGTGTGAGGTTCTTACTTAGAGGAATGACCCTTTTCTCCTCGCAAGTTTTTCTAGGGCTTCCTTCATAGACTAACCAGTACTTGCTTGGGGGCTTTATGTACTAATCAAGATCCAACGTGAGAAGATTCTGGGATCTATAGCCAGATAGCCAGACTCGTTGTGAACCCTTGGGGGTTTGCTTCATTGTCTTGCTGTAGAACTACAAAGCTGAGGTTGGACCTGCTGTATGCGATGATGATGGCTGGGAGCCTATGATGCCCATGGACCTTCTTTCAGAGTAGCAACGAGATCCCAAGATCCAAACAGCTGAGGCATGTCAGTTCCCAACACCCCGGAGCCAGCGCCATGCTGAACATTTCTGTCACAACATCATCAACATCTTTGGTGTCATTTCTGGCAATTTCTGGCAATTTCTGGCCAGTTGGATATGGTTCAGAATTCTTTACGTTCCAAAATTGGGCGCTTTTGTACGGACGCTGACGGATCAGCGTCCGTGAAAATCGCCAAGATCGTCCCAGGCACCCTTGGCTTCGAATGTGGACCGAGTCGCTTGGCGGATCCAAATTTTCAAAACCAGGGCTTGCTTCGTTTGGGGAGTATGAATGATATATTTTGATATATATATATGATATACGTATTTTAATATTTGGGAAGGGATTGCTGGGATTTTCCGAAACTGAGGTTTCAATTTTTATGTTATGAAGACTCTTTTAATTGTTTCGTCGTAGATTTCCATGTCGTTGCCCCGGTCTTCCAGCCGAGGAGACACCCGAAAAGTCTCGAGCTGTGGGTGCTGGGCCTGCTGGGCCTGCTGGGCCTGCTGGGCTGTTGCCTCAGAAACTGCGCCTTGCGCACCTTTGGATGCCATGGATGGTGTGTGTCCAGGATTTCACAGTCGGAAGACTCTCAGAGCTCTACAAACTTGGAGGATGTCCAAGAAATGCAACTCGGCTTGTATTATTGTTTTTGAACTGACATCACCATAGCAAAGCCCGTCAACAATCACCCAAGGCGTGTCACTGAGATCAGCGATCAGGCTCATGGCTCATCCAGACATCTTCAAAAAATATTGGGAGATGCACAGAATCACTTCGGAATCACCTGAAGTTTCACCTTTGCGAGGCATCTGCTTTGCGTGACCATGAAGCGACGGGCTTCGAGCAGCCAGGTCGGGAGTTGACCCGAACTCGTCCAATCGTCACATAGTCTGTGCTGTTCATCCCGCTGCAAAGTTGCTATCGGATAATATTGTGATGGCCATTAGCTCTGTCGGCGGGCTGATGTTTCACATCCACAGGGCTGGTCTGCTTTGACATCTTTGACCTTGTTGCCTAATTACTATTTTGTGATTTTTTCTTTCTTGTTCTTTTCTCTGTTTTTTTTCGTTTTGTTTTTTCGTGTTTGCCTTTTTCTCTGTCTTCCCCTGCTTGGATCGTTCCTTTATTTTCTCTCTGCTTATTTCCTTGTGTCCTTTGTTTTCTCTGCATTTTTTGTTGTCATCTTTTCTGTCGTTAAAAACCCCTACACGATCGTCAGGTGTTTTGATCTCCACTGTGTTTTTTTTCTTTCGGCTCTTGGAGGTCTTGTGTCGTCACCGCGGCAATCTGTGTGGTCCCAACCGCTCAAACGGAGGCGACCAAACGACAATTTGATCATTGTGGAAACACCTTGCGAAATTGAATAAAGCAGATTTTTCAGCTGGCAGTTTCCACATTGTTTTGCTGAAAACAGTTTTGTTTTCCATGTTGCTGTTGCAGTATTTCACCCTTTTTCAATATGGGTTATAACTTTGCGCGGGTGAAATATGGGTAGCTGCCCATGGCATCGGCAGGCGGGAGGGTGATCTGGACCTTGAAATCCTCGAGTTGTCCATGGAGGATGTGGCGCCGGATCACACTGAGGTGTTGCGGCGCAAGGAACCAGTGGAACCAGTGGAACCAGTGGAACCAGTTGTTGTTCAAACGCCAAAACATGGCGGATTCAAACATGCCTCACATAATTTCCGAGATCATGTTTAATGTCAGTGGATGGAACTTTAAAAAAAGTCTTGAAATCAGGCGTGTTCACCGCAGATTTCTTGTATCGGTTTGTTGTATCGGTGCAGTGTCTTGGGGCAGATTTTTGCACGAAGGTTGCTATGCCACCAAGGGAAGAACCAGGCCGGATGGGCGTTTGGATACTAGGGGCACCTGTTTTTACAGCACTTGGTAAAGCTTCCAAAGAGAATGCAAACGACAGTGTCTCAGCGAAATTGTTGTGAGGCACTTCATAGCATTGCTTAGTACTGTCCAGTGTCAATGTTTATCAAAGTTTTCTTTAAACGGATGAAAACCATCTCAGAAAGCACAAAAACATTACATCAGTCTGTCATGCATGAATAAATTGCATATCACGACACACTATTGATCCAACTCGTCATCACAGACATTAACACAAATACACTAAATACACAATTCTTTGTGCACTTAACATCAGCGTTTGCAAAAATTCTGGATCTCCAGGTCTGGACTTGAGCATCGAGGTACCGGTTTGAAATTGAATTTCAGCAGATTTTTCCTCAGTCACTTCCAACACTTTTTTTCCGAAAAATCCGTCTCGACCAGGAATATGTCCCTCCAGAAGGCAGGGTGCATCACGGTGCATCACGGTGCAGAAGCTGACAGCGCTTGCGCTGAGCGAACTGCTCTGTGAAGGTTCGGAAATGGAGGTAGAGCCGGTAGAGCCGGTAGAGCACATCATTCCAGCTGAGGACATGGGGATCCATGGAACGTTCCATGCATTTGGAAAGGTTGGGTTCAGATTCCAGATCCGCAGGAGAATCAATGCACTTCAGATTTGCCAGTGTGGAGCTCTGTAGAGTGCTTCGTTGAAAACTCGAGCAATCTCAGAGAGTAACCCTGGAATTGTCAAGATAAGGCGGCTGTACCCAGGTTGCTTTTGGTTCTGGTAATCCCGTCGTGCTTTTGAGGCAATGGGCTGCAGCTTTACAAGCTCCGTCACCTTAGAAGGAGCTGTGACCTAGCTTGGAAGTGAGTGTATCAACACCCTGGCCATTGAGAATTGTTTTTGTTGTTTGTTGTTTTTGGTTGTAATCATAGAAAGCTCAACATGATCCATCGCAACGCAGTAGACTCAGACTCGATATACGATAGGCGATAGGTTTGTGTAACATGTGTAGTTCAAGTGACAAAAGTGACTATCGAAACAGCGTGTTTCGTGTTTCTCCGCGTGAGGGGCACCTCGCTGAATATCTCTCGCTGTGTCGTCTCAGTGCAGGATTGCGCTCTCGGGCAAGACGCCGGCGCGAGGCGTCGCACACAGCACTGCGACACAGCAACGAGTTCAAAACGCCCCAATTTTCTCATATTTTCTCCATGTGGCTGATGTGGCTCAAAATTCTCCAGGGTTTTGATACTAACAACTTACAACATCCACAGATACCAAAGAATGACTTTTCGCCTCAGGTTCTGTCAGCAGAAACGCCGCCTTGGCAGCGTTGGCATCAAACCGGTAGCCGACAAAGCCCACATACCCTTTGGTTATTTAGCATAGCCATGGTATAGATGTCCCATTTATAGTTGATTTACCTATTAACAATGGTGATTTTCCATGGCTATGTAACAAATAACCAGATGGTATCTCAATTTCGGGTTTGAACACAAGAAATTGATGTCAACTTGTGCCTGTTGCCCGTTTATTTTGTTTACCGGCTTCTCTATCAGTACATGCTTTCTGACTTGTTCTTTACCCTATGATTACCCTATGCGATCTGAGTTTTTCCTGATGGAAGCTCTGTAACTTTTGCTCGTGATGGCAAAGGGCGAATTGTCTTTGAAGTATTTTAACTCCCAAATTGATACTGGCAATGACTGGCATAGGTGCAAAAATAAGAAAATCAGATCATTTAAAAGTCTGCCACTGCAGGTCGCAAGTGACATCGGAAGTGACCTTCCCAAGGCATTGACACATATTGACACTCTCGGTCGGCTTGAGTGGGTTGAGTTGTGGGATTCGCCGTGCAGGGCCTTTTCCTTGACTGCTTTGCGTGGCGAAGGCTGCAGTTTCTGTGCAACGTGATGCAACGTGCATGGAAAGCACATGTGAAGTCCCGAAAGAGTCTAACCGTTAGAGTCACGTGGAAAGTGGACTGCATTGTATACGTAAAGATCGCAAAGTGCGACGCAAATTCGTTAAGTGGATAGCATTGGCCACTTGATCCACTACTGTGAGATCGATGTCATGCCGAACTGGCCAAATTGGGCCACCTTGGTTCGCTTGGTTCGCTTGGTTGAGGTGCATCTCTAGAAGAGGTTGCGAAATTTGCTTCAGACGAAAGCGGCGCCCACGGTTTGAGGCGAAGTGGTCAATAAACAGCCCATTTCGGTGAAAAAACAGTAGAACGCAGAGAAAAGAACCGAAAAGGATAGAAAAGGACCATGTTACAAATTGAGATCCATTTTTGTAAGGAAAGTATGGGAAAGTATGGGAAAGTATGGGAAAGTATGGGAAAGTATGGGAAAGTATGGGAAAGTATGGGAAAGTCTCCAAGGTTTGCTTCGTATTCACCGAATCCACCGATCCTTTTGGGGGCGATGGACATAGGGTCAGTGCGTTCTGCTCGGCTCCAGGTTCGACAAACGCTGCTTTTCCAAGATGCGCGTCATTGGCCAGTCTGGAGCACAAGGAGCACAGTGCTGTGGACAGCGCTGGATGGCAGTTGTAGGACTTAGATACGGTAAGATGTGCAACAACTTGATGTTAGAACGCCGTGCGTGCAAGGGCCACAACTATTTTTCTTGATGTTCAAAATCAAATTGCAAAACCAGCAGATTCCAAGATATTCCAAGGTTCAACTTGGGCTTCATCATTGGTGCGTTGCCAGTGCGGAACCTGGGTCCCAGTTGTCCCAGTTGGGTCCCAGTTGGGTCCTGCGTGATCTCCATGGTTCTGAGGTAACCAGCTCCAGAGGTGGCAAAGAACAACTGTTCATCGTCGATCAGCATGCTTCCGACGAGAAGTTCCGCTTTGAGGCGCAGCCTGAAATTGATCCACATGGAGAGATGGAGGAAGGGCTTCTGCCAGGCTTTAAACCGGGAGTCGCGGATTGAGCGACAGCCCCTGGTGTCGGCACATCCTCTCCAACTTACACCAGCTCAGGTGGGGCAGATTGCACATATTGCACTTTGTCCCACGGAATGGACTTTTTTTTTTAAATTTCATTTGGATGAAATATATCTTTTGCAGCCCCAAAAGGAAAAGGTCTTATCCAAACAAACGCTTAAAAGTACTTCTAGATTCAAGGACATTGCTAAGTTTTAGAAGGAAGACCACATGACATTTACGAGTAGCAAACCAAAACCAAGCTGCTGGTTTCTGAAGCTCTGTCTGGTCCTACCTCTCTTAGATCTAAGTGTGTCATAGTGCGTCCTGTTACAATCGCGATCGGAATCGCTTTCCTCCCCAGGAGCAGCTCGCTGAAGCCTATCTTGAGGCCAGACTGCTCATCATTTCCACATCATTTCCGCATCATTTCCACATCATTTCCACATCATGCGACCTGTTCACCTGCTGCCAGCTGCCAGCTGCCAGATCTTCCGCAAAAATGGCTTTGATCTTCAGAAAGACGAGGCAGCGCCAGCAATGCTTTCGCGTTCGAGTCTCTATTTCTGCCGATGCAGAGGTTTTCTGCACATCGTCATGATGGATCAAAATGGATCAAAATGGATGAAATTTCTCCAACTTCACTAATACTTCACTGGATTGCTGCCAGAATCCGCCAGAGCATTTTGTGGCTCTTTCCCCCACACTTTCAATCGCCAGTTCCCCAACAGAGGCTGGGATTTCAGGCTCTTGCAACTTTGCAAAAGGAACATGTTGACAGTTCTGACAGTTCTGACAGTTCTGACAGTTCTGACAGTTCTGACAGTTCCAGAAATGCTACCCTCTGGTAAACTAACAGTTCGCTATTGAAAATGGCCATAGAAATAGTGGATTTTCCCATTAAAAATGGTGATTTTCCATAGTTATGTGACAGTTTACCAGAGGGTAAAGTTTCGTGAAGCTGTGTGAAGCTCTCTGTTTCCTCTCGCCACCAGGCCACATGGCGAAGTTCTCGACTTTGGATGAGGCGACTGGATTTCAGGTGTCATGGCCCTGTACAAACCATTTCACAAACAGCCACAGTTTAACACACTTTAAATAAAGGTGCTGTTTTTCAGGGCTGTTTTCTAAGATGTACAAAAAACTTATTTCTAAGATGTGCCAAGGTTTTTTGGCCCAAGTTGTAAAGGTGCTGTGAAAATCTCTTTGAACAGGCGAATGTTGAAGCCGAAGCAGGTTCCAAGAGGCCACAGCATGCCATTAATCCTGTCACTCATCACCGGCACTAAAAGCCGGGACTCATTGTGTTCAGAACGGTGAGAACGACCGGAGTTTCACCAGCATTTTTTGGAGGATTCTGCAGGATTCCCATGGAAAACACAGATTTCCGATGGATTTCCTACGGATTTCGCACCGATTTTGAAAGATCCACGCATTCCACGGTGAAGGCACTGCCCGAAGGACCTGCGGACACCTGGTGAGTGAAGAAATCGCAAGAAGATTCTTTTGGTTTCTGATATTAAAAAACACTTTATAATTATAAGTATAAGATATTATAAGATATTATAAGAGTGTAGTATTATCATGCAATCATGTACTATCTTGATTCATGTTGTATGTCCAGATGATTTTCCCTTGAATTTGACAGGTGACCATAGGTCAATTGCTGTCTGAAGCTGCTGCCCTAAGGATCCGGCTTCCCGAAGAGGCCGTGCAGTCCCTGCTGCAGAGCTTTCAGGCGGCGGAACAGCGCTTGGCTGCTGCAGAGGCCAGGGGCCGCCGATTCGCCCATTTGGTGACTTGACCATTTGAAGATCCAATGGATATCCAATAGATTCAATAAATGTTTTTTAGTATGTTTTTTTTTTTTTTTTAAAGTATGTTCAGTATGTTTATAAACTGTTTATAGTATAGTATGTTTTGGCATGTTTAAATATGTTGTACCCCTAATCTTGGACGGGTTGCGATCAAGGTTGATTTTGGTCGGATTTGTTGTGATATGTTTGCAGTATCTATTCACTTCTGATTGACTCAGGCCTTGCCCGATCTTTCTGAGCGCTAGGCATCCAAAAACAGCATTCAGTTGTCAGCGGTGTCATGGATTTCATCAGGTCTTGGGAGGTTGGAAAGGACGTGTTTTCAGCGGCGCACTTTGGTTTTGAGATTCGTCAGCGGAAGTCCCCGTCCTATCTTTGGAAGGTATCGGAGCAATTTGATGCTGCGCAGCAGGAAAGGGTCGTGGTGATGGGTCGTCCTTTAGAGACTGAGTCACAGTGAGTCCCAATCCCATGATTTCGGGTTCCACATGGTTCCAACATTTCTATTGAAACTGCCCCATTTTTTTTTTTGACATCTCCATAGTTTTTCCACGGAGGAGTTGCAAGTCGTTGCATCTAAGCTGTGGGACTTGGCGCAGCTCCTCAAGAGTCGTACGGATCAGGCGCATGCTGCGTGGAATTCAACAAGCATGGAGAGAGTAGCCAATTGCTCAAGCAAATGATGGGCTGAAGCAGGTTAAGATGAAACCGAAAAAAAGAACCCATGGACAGTCCACAGAAGGTGGCGAAAGCAACTTGCTTTCTGGGAATATTTGGCCATAACTAGCTCTGTCTTCGAGAGATTGTCTAACAGTCTCTGAGTTTGACAGGTGGACGCAGTCCTTGCCAATGCGTCTGCCAGTGATGCAGAGGCGCAGCGGCGTGTCAAAGTTGTGTCAGAGATTTGTGACCCGCCTGAGGCGCCGGGTTTGGAAAGGCTGCTCGAAGCTCGCAAACGTTTGAAAGAAATCGAAGAAGAGAAGGCTGAATCAGATGGGGAAACGATTTTTGATCTCAAATTTTGGAATCTTGAAATTACTGTACACTTTGCTGAAGCCACTGACCTTAAACATTTTCATTTGTTTCATCCTGCTTTGGATGATTGACCCTTTTACGGGTGTGAACACCTCCAAAATCAGGGTCATTCGCGTTTGAGGCATTTACAAGTTTCACCAAGCACCTTTATGCCAGATTTCTTTCGGCTGCCTCAAGAATGAGGGTGGACGATGCCTAGCAAGACCAAAGAAGATAGACTCCGGCAGCCTGCAAGTTCTGCCCAACTGTAGGATTTCAGCATGATTTGAACATGATCTTTCACAGACAACAAGACATGACCCATACCCTCCGAATTTCTTGGCAAGTCTTCAGGGGCAGAACTTTTTTTGTTTTGTTTTTTTTTGATTTCGTTAAGCCAGAGATCATTATCATGTTGACCTCATTGTGTACAGCCCGCCATACCCGGTATCCGTTTCTGAATGTTTGCCATCAGTGAGCAGGTGATGCTTGAAGCCTTGAAAGACCAAGAGGACGCTACGAAGCAAACTGGGGGGGAGCTGTTTGCAGAATCTTCCAGTGTTCGAACACCCTTTGAGTCAGCGGGCTGCGAGAACTTTTCAATTTGCAGGTCCTGTACCTTCATGTTCAAAAACACACTTTTTGAATGAAGTTCCCATGGTAGTGAGGTGCACACAGTAGACTTCAGCCTCACGCAAAACAGAAGACCAATTTTGATATGGTTTGATCATGTTTGATCAATGATCAGCTAAGCTCAACAATGCACCCTTCCACATACTCTGCCGGCCTCATGGACACACCGCTCTGAAATGCTCTAGAGCTGTGCGCTTTGGCATCTTTTTGCAGCTCAGTCCAGGAACGGAATGTGACAGCTTGGTCAGGCAAGGTTAAAGAAGTTGCCCAGACCGCACAAAAAGAAGGATGTCGTGCAAAGACGTTGGTACTCCATGCGCAGAAACTTGCCCAAGACAAAAGGGAAGAAGAGGCAGCGGAACGGGCTCGTCATGAAGCAGAAGAAAAGGCTCGTCGCGAAGCAGAAGAAAAGGCTCGTCGTGAAGCAGAAGAAAAGGCTCGTCGCGAAGCAGAAGAAAAGGCTCGTCGTGAAGCTGAAGAAAAGGCTCGTCGCGAAGCAGAAGAAAAGGCTCGTCGCGAAGCAGAAGAAAAGGCTCGTCGCGAAGCAGAAGAAAAGGCTCGTCGCGAAGCAGAAGAAAAGGCTCGTCGCGAAGCAGAAGAAAAGGCTCGTCGTGAAGCAGAAGAAAAGGCTCGTCGCGAAGCAGAAGAAAAGGCTCGTCGCGAAGCAGAAGAAAAGGCTCGTCGCGAAGCAGAAGAAAAGGCTCGTCGCGAAGCAGAAGAAAAGGCTCGTCGTGAAGCAGAAGAAAAGGCTCGTCGCGAAGCAGAAGAAAAGGCTCGTCGCGAAGCAGAGGAAAATTTACATCTCCAAGCACAGGAAATGCTACGTCGAGAAGCAGAAGAAAAGCTATGCCGCGAAGCAGAGGAAAAGCTACCATGCGAAGCAGAGGAAAAGCTACGCAGCGAAGGAGAGGGAAAGGCTGGCCATCAAGCAGAGGAAAAGAGCCATAGTGAAGATACGAAGGCCTGCTGTGTAGGTCAGGATGCAGTGGAAAAGCCCTCGGAAGCGGAGGAGCTGAGAAAACAAAACACTGGCTGCGATGCTGTAGCATCCGTGCAAATGAAGAAGCCAGAATCGCTGCCTCAACCAGTTTCTTGTCACAGCAAGCTGAATCAGACACTCGCAATATACCGTGACAGAGACATCCGTGTACTCGAGCTCATGAGTTTGCTCTGTGTGGAGTTTTATTTTCTTTCTCCCTAGATGAATATGACGACATCTTATGACTAAGTATCATTACTAATCGTTCATGACATTAATGACTAATGATACGAATGCGTTTTCTATGCGTTTGCTGTGCGTTTGCATCGTGCTTTCGGAAAGATGTTTTGGACACCGAGGCAGATCGGCTTTTTGTCAGGTCGACATGCAGCAAGGTCAGCGGTCAAGCCATGTCAAGTTATGCCAAGATTGACGTCTCGAGATGTCTCGAGATGTCTCGGGTGAACTCTTCATCTCTGAGTTCTCCATTCTCCTACAGCATTCAGCTTCAGGTGACTGGAGAGTATCATCGCATTGAGAGCCACGCACCCAGCACTGCAACGGCTGCAACGGCTGCAACGGCTGCAATGGCTGCAATGGCTCTCACCTCAGGCGATTGGCAAGGCCGCCAAGCCTTTCAGAAGCAAAACAAGGAGAAGATCTACCTGGTTTGGTCGCCGCATCAGGTCATTCCAGGGTTTTCTGGTTGTGATATGGGCCAACAAAGGGAATGACATATGGATTTTCCGGTTGATCATCCAAGAAAAAACATCTTAGATTTAGATATATGTATATAAATTATTATAAATTGATATAAAAATAGATTCTTTCTAGATTTTCGACATGTCATTGGAATCTGGCTTCAAACAGTACCCTAAACTGCCTACGTTTCAGCCCGCCACGTCGGGCAAAAAGCCACGGGCGGCTAGGCCGGGCACTGGACCTTCACCTTGGACCCTTCGCGTGAGGAGGTCCTGGCACGAAGTTTGCAGGTGCGCCTTCGAAAAATCGTGATGACATATTATCTGTAATATATATAATGATATATATATATATGTTTATAATATATATATATTTATAATATATATATTTATATATGTGGATTAATGCAAGTGTAAAAATCAATGATTAAATTGAATGTTGTGGTGTAAATTAGTGAACATGATTCAAATGATATGAATTTGAAGTTTCAGCGATGATGTTATCCGCGAAACCTACTGATGATTAGAAATATGATGTAAAAAAGCGTTGTCGCTTCCATTTTGTTTAAAGTTGTTGAGACATGTTTATATCATGATATACCCCCAATTGTATAGTAATGCCCAAAAGGACAAAACAAGTTCAAAATCCGAACTAAAGATAGTGTCAAATTAAACCTCCTCTTGATTTGTGGGAGGTTGCCACATATATATATATATATATACACACTCAACTACTAGGGTTTTTTGACATATTCAAAGACAGTAAATTCAAGGAAAGACGGCATGGGAGCATCTGCATGTTGTGTTTTTTGGAAAGGATGTGAATATGTTCATGTGTTTGATTCATGTTTGATGTGGGGATGGGTCAAAACCCTGGTACCTTTTGTTCACCCCAAGTCATAGCTGGGATTTATGGATGTTCATCCCACTAAAAATGTATCTATAGGTATTGACCCATACCCATGTGTGTTTCAGTCTCTTTCAGTCCCCTTCGGAGGTGTCGTTGACATCGATGCCAGATGAGCTGATGCCCCGTTGGACCACGGTGAAGTCCTCAACGGAGCGGCGGTGCGGTGCGGCTCCGCGGGGAGCGACAGCTGCTGGTTCAGCTGTCACCAAGGCACCTTGGGGCACGCGTGGCAACAAGTTGCTGGTGTGATCCTGAGATATCTGATATATATATATGTGTATATTATAATATATATATATGTATATTCGTCACTGATCACTAATGATCACTGGTGATCACTGATGATCACTGATGATCACTGATGGCATTTTTTGGGACTTTGATTTTTCCATGTTTCTCTATGGCTCAGCTGTGACAGTTTGTTTTGGAGGTTCAAACCTCACGCTTCTCAAATAGATTCACAAAGTACACAGAGCTTTCTTCCTCAGTATTGCTCAGTGTCGGTGCTATGGTGTTTTTTGCTGGATTGCAAGGTTCACATTCAGAGGGGCTGAGTGGCTGCATGATGCCAGTCATTTTGTTGCGTTCCTGCCCAAAAGCCCTGGTGGCCTTCGCAACTCCGGAGTCAGTGTCAGACTGTCAGAGTGTTTCAAAATGAATCCATTGGGCTTTGCCTGCGGGTACCCCAAAATTTCATGGCAAGAAAACAGTTTCTCAATTAGGATGGCCATAGAATGGGACATGCCGGTCTCCCGGTATCCACCTTTTTGGACCTTTCGATTCGATGCACTTAGGGCACTTGGCCTTGCCTTTGACCTGGAGTTGACTCCCCAATTTGATTCCAATATGCATGCCTCGACGTCATGACCCCATTGCAATGGCAATGCATACATTTTTGTCTCAAAAAGTACCTTGAGTGATCTTGAGTGCATGTCTCCTCAGCTTTTTTTTTGTGCAGTTCCCTTCAGTTGCAGAGGGTCTTGCGATGTCGCTTTCATTCCAGGGAACATACTGCCTGACCCCAGGTAAGTATGACTCAGTAAGTTTGAGTGCAGAGTTTGATCCTTTTGAGATCTCCGATTTGGTGCAGAAAAAGGATGTGCGACTTCGCGCGACTCGTGACGACCGTGCGGATGCGGCGTCCGGCCGTGGCTCTGTTCCAGGCTCGGCCTCCTGGTCGGCGGTTGAGGGTGACGGCGCTTCCAAGCTGCATGGAGCTCAGTGAAACGCAAAAGCGGCAAAACCTGGCGATTCATGGTATCTGGATGTATGGTATGTTATGTTATGTATGGTTGATGATGTTGATGTTGCGGAAGTAAACCAACAATTGAAGGCATTTTCACTTTGATGGAAAGCCATGGAAAGCTGGCTGAGCACGAGGAAATGAGTAAGAGCTGTAAGCCATAAGATGGGTCCATTGATTCTGTGAAGTCTGCACATCTAACCATGCCGGCAATGCCTAGGTGTTTAGTCCCTGGGATGTTCTACTTGGATCTTCATCTAACATAGTGACAGTAAGCGCAAGCAGCCAAGGCCAAGGAATGGTCTTCAATGAGAAGGACATCCATGACCTTTTGCTCCATGTCTGAGTTCAGTTGGATGTTGAATTCAAGCAATCTGGTTGGGTCTTGAACTAGAAGCAGAGTAGTTTCATTGCAGCATGTGATTCGGGCAGAGAAACAAACTGACCAATTTCGCCATCCAACGCTGTCAGGGCAAGACGGTAGAACTGGTAGAACCCCAGGAATCAAGCAGTTGGGGGCCATTTGATTTAGAGCTTCGCACACCATGCCATCAGGGATCCCTCGCAGCTTAGCTGTTATTCCTGTTGATGTTCATCATGATGGTGACGATGATGGGCGCGCTGGGAACACTTTTTTGAAGCTTGCTGTTGGCGCGCGCAAGTATGATGTAGTATCTTGAACATACCACCGTTTTTTCCATCGTGAACACAGATTTGCCAAAAATTATGCACCCTTAAAGGCATCATATTGACTGTGTTTTGGTAGTTTTTGAAAGCCATCGGAACAAAAAAGCACCACAAATACCGATGTTTTTGGCGCCTCGCAAGCCCAAACCCACCATATTTATGATGTTTTTTTTGTTCTCCGTGGTATCAAACATCCACATTGTTTTTTTAAACAGTGCCTAGAAAAAACATTGGTATATACGCAGTTTTCAGCATGTTGCAAGAAGTAGTTTTTGCGCACGCCCAAGGTACGGCCCCGTGGAATATGCTTGTTTTTATCAAACATGGGTTGGGGTGGGGTGGGGTGGGATGTTAAAGTTCATGTTACGCTGATGATGTTACGCTGCTCGTGGGGCCACGCAAGAAGACAGCGGGCACGCAGTGTATAGATAGGAAGTGGCAGTCTCTTAAAACATTTATACCCAAGGATCTGTGCAACAAGCATAAGCTCACTCGAGATGTGAATGGATCCATCCGAGACTGCGTGTTTGCGTTTGTTTGTCGCACAAACTGGGGCAATGCAAACACGTTGAAGAAGCTGGCCGACTTGGCCTCCACGTGCTGAGACAAAAAAAGTCCTTTTTTTTTTTTTCAGCCGCGTGTGTTGCACATGGATGCTAAACATGGGTAGAGCTGCGAATTCATAGCCTCAAAGTCATGCAAATACCATAGAAAATGGATGATTGTTTTCAAAGAGAAAACAGAAACCTTGTAAGAGTTGTCGATTTTATGCATGTACCATGTTGAGAACTCGCAAAAACAGCGGGACCGTAATTATGACGTGACCTAGTTTTTCCATGCAAAAGTTACGGAAACCTGGTCCTTTACGAGGTTTTGTTCTGCCCGAGCACAACAAAAACGGCTAAGAATTCCCCAAAACGCTCCGACTTCGACGATTTTGACTTCGGGTGCCACAACATGGCATGGACGGAACCCGAATAACATCAACTCATATCTACTCCAAATAGCCGGTGGGTGCTTATCCCACTAAGGTACAAGTTGGAAGAGGCTCAACCTTCTGAAGGCAGTCAAAGTCTTGAAGGCCGGAATCTGATGGAATCTGATGGATCAAGGCAGTGAAAGTTGGTCAAATTTGGTCATGTTCGGTCGCCCCAAAATTCATGGCTGATCATCATTTCCACGTTAAGATTGCCTTAAACGGACAGACCCATCACCCGTCATTGCTGGTTTTTTAAACCCGTGATATCCCTGTTATACCCCATGTATGGTTGGTTATATCACCGCGATCGAAATTTGATAATATCAGCAGTATGCCATAACGACCTAATGTTTCTTGTTGGTTGTTACGTGGTGATATTGTCTTTATTGATAGTTGAAAGTAGTTAAACCCTCGATAGTACCCTCAAAAAACCGCCATGATCCTTAATAACTCGATAATGTGGGTAAAACAATGTCAAACCACCCATGACTAGGAATGGTTTTGTACATCTCACCTATTTATTATGCTGATGACTGGGGGATGGTGGTTTATGGCCTTGTTTTAGCCACAATAATCCTATATCCCCATCATGTTCCCATTCTGTCCCCGTTAAAGCATCAAATCCGTTGGCAAAAATCCCAGTGATTGATGATTAAACCCGTTTTTTTTAGCCATAATCAAGCCATGATATCATATTAGTCCCATCATCCCATCCACCCAAATCATATCACCATAAATAACAGATTGGTGGTTTGGAACCATGGAATTTTATAACTTTCCATATATTGGGAATGTCATTTTATTCCAATTGACGAACTCCATCATTTTTCAGAGGGGTAGGTCAACCACCAACCAGATATTTTGTTGGTATAATATGTTATAACCCCATTATTTTTTCCATATATAATCACTATTATTGGTATTATAACCACTATATAACCACTATATAACCACTTTATAACCACTATATAACCACTATATAACCACTATAACCGGTTATCCTCTTCCCCACATTACCTCCCCATGGTCAACCGTGGATCCATAGGTGGCCTGCTGGATCTGGATGGGCATCGCGCCCTTTGGAGCACTGCACTGCCACGGCCGCAGAAGGTGCAATTTTAGCAAGAAAAATGTGGATAAAATGGGACATATGTACATCCATATGTGTGTATATATATAATTATATATACATATACACATAATATATATATATATATAATACATATATACATACATACCATACCATTACATTACATTGCATTACATAACATAAACACAACAACACAACACAATTTGTGTTTGTCGAATAGTCTGATATTTTTGTGAACTGAATCTGGGTTTTATGGCAATTTTAAGTTGGGGAATGATGGTCAACCTTTGGATTTTGGAGCCAGGCTGGCATGCCTTGGAGTAAGGTGGGACTGATAAACTACCCCCCAACTTTGATGAGAAATAGGTGGTAACGGTAGCGGCAACGGTAACGGTAACGTAATGGTAACGGTAACGGCAACGTGGTATATACGGTATAACCATCTCCAAAAGGGTGGCTTATGGCGGGTGAATCCAACGTGAATTTCACTGGCAGAGTTCCGCAGATTTCCACACACCGCCGTTGCGACATTTCGGGTCCAAGCAAAAAGTGGCTTGAAGGCCACATGCAGAGGAGGCGACGTGACGTGTCGGCTGAGTTTGGGTTTGCCTTAGATTTTGGAGACAAAGTCACATGTTTGTAGATTTTGGGTGCAAGTACTTGAGTAGACTATTACATCACAAACTTGGACTTAAAGGCGTCAACCTTTTGGAACTGTTTGCTTGTTCAGTCGGACCGAAACATGTTCTGATTGACAGATTATGCACCTTCGACTTGCCCTCCACGAAACCAAGATTGAAGTGGCCCCATCTTGTGATGATCGAAATCAAACATTCCAGGTGAGTTTCTCAAAATTTCTCCAATCGCCACAGGTTCTCCTCAAGGTATGGAAGCCAATGAGTGCCGGAACTCAGTCGCATCTGGGAAAGACACAGATGTATCATGATTATCATGTATCCGGCAGACAGCAGGCTGCTTCAAGCCATTCACGGCCATTCATTGCCATTCATGGCCAGCTTTCAGGTCGGGGAGCGCCAAAGAAGTTCAAGGTGGTTGTACTTGGAGATGAGGCTGCCGGTGCGATCCTCTGGCATTTTTTTCAGAGCAGTTTCGGAGCCTCGGCCATACCTGAGCTCACCTGCTTTTGGCTGAGGCAAAACATCGTTGGTGCGCCGCTACATGTACGACACCTTTGAAGAGGGGACTGCGCCCACTGTAGGTGCGCGTAGAGCGCTTTGCGCGCCAACGCAGCTGGTTCTACCCTTCATCTTTATATTAATCTTTATCATTCATATTCATTCATGATATTCATGGAGCCAGGCATGGACTTCCAGAGCAAAACTGCTTATCTGGAGGATGTTCAGGGCTGAGGCTTTGATTTGACATGATTTCATGCCGTGTCGTGCTCCCGCTTTGTCAACATCGCGTTGTAAGGGACGATCCCTTCGCCTACAGCTTTGGGACACTGCTGGCCAGGAGCGGAGCAGAGTAAAGGAAATCCTTCCTTTAATCCAGTGTTTCCCAGCATTAAGAGGATTTCTTCTATTTTTGCAGCACTTCACTAGCGCTGAAATAGATTGTCGCTATAAATAGATCCTTCTCAGGGTTTCGCAGGACGTCTTTTAGTCTGATGTCAGATGCCTGGCTTCACCAGGAACGCTTCCGGAGCCTCATCCCGAGCTACATCCGTGACGCTGCAGCTGCCGTGGTGGTGTATGACATCACCAGGCAATCGTCCTTTCAAGGGACGAGGAGCTGGGTGGCAGATGTCCGGGCAGAGCGAGGCGGGGCATCGGGGCATTGCGAAGTTCTACAGATTTTGATGTTTAAACAACACCCATGGAGATTTGTTAAGTTAAACGTGTTTAAACACCCATGGTTCCATTAAAATCAATTTTCTAAAATCTGATCGAGATTTGTGGCTTTTGACAACACACAGACAACTGATGATATGCTGAATCTGCCTGGCGAGTCGTCGCAGGCAACGAATCCGTCTTGGCCTTGGTGGGAAACAAATCCGACTTGGCCTCGGATCGCCAGGCGCAGAAATCGATCGACAGACGATCGACAGACGATCCGTTACCGCATTGGTGGAAATGCCCCGAAATGAAAAATGATGAAAAAAATGGTTAATGATGATTAATGGATTGATGATTTTTTTGATGGTTTATATGTTTGTTTTTTCTACCTGTGCAAGAGTTTTTCACATGGTTTACCGCCAGGTTTCAGAGGAGGAAGGCAAAGAGCTGGCCAAGGCCCACGTCGTGAAAAAAACATCCCAATGGTGGAGCACACATCACATTAATTTGTCAACGCAATGTAATATATATATATATACATGGTACATATTATTTTATGTTAATATAATGTCAATATAATGTTAATGCAATGTTAATATATGTTTACAGTTGACAACTGGAATAGCTATCCATAATCAAACAACGAATGATGATTGATGATGTCCAACGGTTACAGCAACCCCCAACTGAAAGTACATTACCTGGACATTATGGGGAACACATCATCGAAATGAACTACTACGCCGGAGATATTTTTCGGCTTCGTTTTGGGGGTTACGGGGTTCCTCAAACTTGGAAGAGGATTCTGGGGATACACAATGGATATAGAAATGGAATGGATTTATTCAGGAAACTGAATAGGACAAATAGGATTCAATTTTCATTCATACCAACAATGATCCAACATGAACACTTAGATTTCAGAAGTCGAGCCATCCTGTGCCTCCTGTGCTTCCATTTTCCTTAGCTGGGATGGTTCCTGGAGACCAGCAGTGCTCCAATTGTGGATGGGGGTTTCAGCATCCACAATATGTATATATATATATACCGAAATATTACAGGATATCATGGGATATCATGGGATATATAAGAAACAATATGATTTGAGGATTTGGGGAGACTTGAGTGGACTTGGAAGTGCTTCCATTGAAGTGCCCTTCAGGAGCTGGGCTTGATGTTCATGGAGACGAGTGCAAAACGAGGACTTCGCAAAATATTGTGATTCACCTGGAGAATACGTGACATCATGTGACATCCTCAAACCACCTCACCAAAAACGGCCAAAAATGGTGGTGAATAGAGGAACTCATTGCCAAAGATGGCTTACTTCAGGTGAGAACTTGTGATTTCACATGTTTCCAGTGCTTTTCAGAAGTGGTATGTTGACATTGTTGAGATTGGGGAAGGACTCGGTTTGTTAAGTGGTAAGGCCTGGGGACTCGGTAGTTTTCCAAAGTGGTCAGATGAGTCTGCAGAGATTCCAGGAGAGAATGTCACAACGCTCTTCCAGTTCTGGTCTTAGTACTATGTACCTCCCATCGAAAGTTTGTCTTTTAGCAACAGGTCCTTCATGCTTTATTGCCTTCCAGAAGTTTGCGGTGACTTGTGAAGTTTGCGATACAGTTGAAGTAGAACTGAACACAAATCCTGCAAGGCAATTGGCCTCAGTCCTTCCTGGCGAGGAAGAAAAACCAGTGGTACAGCCAGGTGTGGGGAAATCAAGTGAATCAAGTGAATCAATTGGCAATGTTTCTTTTTTGGTCAAACTCTGAAGAGTTTTCCGTCAAAACCAAAATTTTGATCAACATTTTTTCCATCAAAACTTTGAATTTGATTTTATGAACTATATCCAAAACGAGTGAAAACGTCTTATCTCCGAATCTCTTGATTTGTTCTTGACCTTTTCATGGCTTCGCTTTGCTGAACTTCCGCTCAGATCGGATTGGCTTCCAGCTACATAGCCAGGCCGGTCAAGCGGTCACGCGGTCATGCCTCGTCAAGCCTCGTCAAGCCATGAAACTTGGTTGGCTGTGTCCTTTCGCGCCAGGAACATCGACACGAAGCTGAGACCAAGAAGAAAAAGCAGTGCAAGTGCTAGTTTGTTGCTGTTGAAAAGCAGTGCTAGTGGAGAGGACGGGAATGATGCTTGGAGCGACACACCAAATACCTTCTGTAGGAAGCTACATATGTATATATATACACACTGTTTTCAGATTCGTATTTCATGTATGCTGTTGTTTCCCCCCATCTTATCCTTTGCCTGCTGAATTCAAGCATGTCCGTGCAGCTCACAAAGATTGAATGCAACCAAGCGATCCTGGATCCAAACTGGACTCCCATCAGCCAGAGAAGACTGGTGTCAAAGGAACGCCCTTCCAAAGTTTGTCAACGCACAGATTTTCCAAACTGTGAAGTTGAAACCCGTGCGTTCCTTCGGATCTTTTGGCTTTCGTAGTTTCGATGGTAAATGTAAAGCCCGCGACAGTATTTCCGTCAGAAAGAGGAAGCCGGGGATTCTGGACTCTGGAGCTTCTTGAGGATTCTTGAGGGTTGTTCACAATATCACATGCGATATCCCATGTATGCCATGTATGCCATGTGCTACGCTGTTGAAGGAGGTCATTTTAAAGCCAGCCGGCCATGGCAGGTTTGGACGTTGCTTGCCTCAAAAGCCTGTCGCTATGCTACCATGGTTGGAAAGGCGGGATGGCTCCAACCATTGGAGTAATGATGGACCCACAGAGTAGATTATTTTTTCGCATTTCAATCATATCATATCATAATCATATCCCCTAAATTGGGATCAATGTCATTCTGAAGCATACTCGAATATGGGGATTTTGGTCGATACCTGTGGGATCATTTCACAGCGAGAAGTAGCTGGGGGCTGGTGTTCCAGCGGGGTTTTGACTCATCCCCAACATTGTAACATTAGACTTTGGGCAATTCCAATCAGCTTTGCATCCGCTTCTTCTCTGCAGCATTTCGAAACCGGCTACCAGCAAGTTTGAAACACAGGGCAGATTTGGTACCAGGAGGAATGTTAACATCTGGTTCTCATCACCAGATCCCATAGGATTCTACAGGATTCACGTGGATTCTTCGAAAGCGTTTTGGACATGCTCTGAAGCCATGGCGAGCACCGGTTCACGTCAGCCTCGACATTTTCGACGTGCTCGTAATGTCCACGGTGTCCATGGCCTTGTGATGGTGGGACTTTGCGGAACAATTCTTCTGTTCTGCGAAAGCTATGCCAGTTCCGCTAGTTGCTTCGCCAAAGGACCGATCTGTCCATGGAGGGTTCACGGTGAACAGATCAGGACTGAAAAGTTGGCGACATCAGCCTTGCGGAGAGACGTGCTCCTAGGAACTTCGGGAGCTTTGTCGCAGGCTGAAGTGCAGCAACTGAAACCAATTTGTGAAGTTCCTTTGCATCGTTTGAAGCCGATCAATGGACAACTTGGTGGTCAATTCGCTAGCATCAGCGCCTTTCTTGGGGGAGAATCAGTCGAACTCATGCTGGACACAGGTCTTTCTGAAGGGATGGTGACTCCTTCCTTGGCCAAGAGACTGAAGCTACCGAGCCTAGGTAGTGCCGAAGGTGCCACAGCAGGTGGTGATGCGACAGTGGAACTGGTCCAGCTGAAAGACCTGAGGCTGGACTGTGGTGAGCTCTTGGAACCGGTGACAGCAGCAGTTGCCAGCTTTCCGGAGGAGAAAATCGATCAGAAGTGGCCCTTGGGAGGAATGCTCGGATACCAAGCGCTTCAAAGCTATGATGCCGACATCGACTTCCCTGGTGGCAAGCTGCGCTTATGGCGGCCAGGGGAAGGTGCTGCTGTGGCTCAGAAAGCGGGCTTGGCAGATGTTGAAGCTGTGGTGTTACTTGGGTCCAATATTTATTTTAAAGTGACGTGACATGAGTGAATACTCCAAATAGATCTTTAGTGAACATGTGAAATATGACTAGACACTATATTTGAAGATATTTAAAGATTATATCAAATTATATCTTACATTCAAATCCTCACAAACTAAAACATCATGAATCTCGGATTGGTTGAAGCTGGACCCAGGTTACCCGATTTCGCCATCCTCGGTGTCCGCGTCATGCAGCCCGGTGCGCGCGCCGCAGTGGCGCTGGGGATAGTGGACACTGGGGCGGGCTTCTCAGCGATCACGCCATCGGCGGCACAGCTGCTGAAAGCTCAAGCAGGGCAACAAGCGGTGACTGGTTATAATATCTTATACTATATTTATACTATATGTATACTATATTTATAAGTGGGATTCTGCTTTTCTGATGGGATTTAGTTGTGGTATTAGTTATGGTTTAGTTAAATAATGGAATAACTCATGGAAGAACGGGATTATAGATATTATAAATGATGGTGGAGTAATCCCATCTTGCGAGAACCTCACCGTCACCGCCGAAAAAATCCTTCTGTCTGTGTAAATCCCAGCATTTTTTATCGGTGCTGTTTAATATTGATTTTATATGGATGTTATATGGCTGTTTTATATGGATTTTATATGATTTGCCCTGTTCCCTCATGTTGGTTACTAGTCTATTTCCTTTGGTGGTTATTGGTGATGTTTTCCGATGGCTGACTACTCTGAATCAGCACAGAAGCATCTTATCCAGAACTCGAATTGGAGCTGCCACAAATGTTTGTTACCCTCTGGTAAACTAACATAGCTATTGAAAATGGCCATTTATAGTTAGTTTTCCCATTAAAAATGGTGATTTTCCATAGCTATGTTAGTTTACCAGAGGGTACTGCAGATGGTGATCCTGGCCTTAAGAACTTTTGTGATGTTTCAATCGACCAGGTGACCATTATTGGTGTGGATGGACGACCCTTACAGCTGCCTCTGACCTCTGAAGTGACTTTGCCCTTGGGGGGCAAAGGGGGCCCTGAAGATGGATGGGAAACCGCGGTGTCCTTGAGGACTTCGCGGGCTGCTCTGGGAGATTTGCCGGCCTTGAAGATTTTTGCCAACGGAAAGCCTGCTGTACTCCTGGGCTTGGATGTGCTGGGCAATCGTCGTCTGGTCTTTACTGCCGGCAGTGGGCCAACACGCCATTTGTACATTGGCCCAGATGAAAGAAGATGAATATGTCATAACATGTCATAACATCATCATAACATCATATAACATCTGCACATGGAAATTATCGCAGACTAATAACGTTTGGGAATGATGCTGAGAGTCGGTGAGATTGCCGAAACATGACATGGAGGAAGCGTTGGCGGCACGACATGTTCAACGAGATCCAGAACTACAGTGGGAGTCGTGCGCAGTACAGATATGTCGTGCGCGGCACAGTAGCAAAGCTTCCCAGTTGCCATGAGTCTCCCAGTTCATGGGTGCAATATGGTGCAATATGGGTATGGATCAATACCTATAGATACCATTTTTAGTGGGATGAACATCCATTTACCAGCTATTTGACACACTGCCATATGGCAATCCGATTCTTTGGATTCTTTGGTCATTGTCCGGCGATAACGTGGAATAGCCACGATTTAGAGCCGCGAACAATCGATCAATTGGCGAAAAGCTTTGGTCGAGGGGAGAAGTTGCAGCTTGACAGAAGGGATTTTATTGAGCATTAGCACATATTAGCATGTCGCCTTTAGACGATCAACTTGGGGAAATATGGGGAAATGGCTATAATGCATTACAATGCTATACTGGTTGGTGGTTTGAAACATTTTAAAAAAAATTCCAGATATTGGGAATAATCATCCCAAGTGACTTTCATATTTTTCAGGGGGGTTGAAACCAGCAACCAGTCACCGGCTTATTAAATCTTGCCATTTTCAATAGCTATGTTAGTCATTACCAGAGGGTAAATGATCCATTTTGACATAGGACGACCAAGTTGCCCGCTTTTGACCAGGCTCTACGGGTCAGCGACATGGAGAAGATCCTTCGAAATCTGGGTACGAGAGAAGCTGCCGAATCCTGACTGTTCGTGCGTTTGACGTCGGACATTTTCGGGAATGATCCACTTCATCACTAGTAATGTCATCATCCCAGCAACCCCCAGCAACCCATCCAGCAACCCTACGTTTAGCAGCACCAGTAAGACTCAGCTGACGAATCTGTGGGTGCTGAACATCTGTGGGTAAAATTATGAAAAAAATGTGCGAAGGACGGGGTATCCCCACGGGGATATTGATTTTGACTGGCAATGGTTGAGTAATCCAAGTTGTGGCTCATATCAGAACTATGTCATGGCTATGGGTCAAAGTTGGGTACCCAAATTAGAACCTTTAAGATCCTTTTTGCTGAAACACGGCTGAGATCTACGAGTCCTTGAATTGTGATAATTTGACCGGGGCCCGGTGTCATTGATTGTGTGGGGTGTTTGATCTTCTTCCTCGCCAGATGGGTTTCAAAGCTTGGGGACTTATGGGGACTTGGGGAGCGGAGAGGTACTTTGAGGCAACCTTGGAACTGTCCACATGGGCGCCCCACCATGCGGCACCTGGTGGACACCGACGCTGCGCGGAAGGCCCTTTTTTTGGTACCGCATCCCTGCGATATCTGGATGAAGTATGATGAAGTTCCAAAATGTTGAAAATAGGAATAAAGATGGAAACTGATGGAAACTGATGGAAAGTGGGACGAAAGTGGAACGAAAGTTGAAAGCGAAGATCGCAGCAGTTGGTTCCCCCTGCGAGGCTCCCAGAAGGACGCCCTCCGTAAAGGTCGGCACATGACGCGCCAAGGTGCCAGCAGTCGCAGCAAGTCTCTTCTGCACCGAATTGCCCGGCTTTCTGAGCACTGCCAGCGACACCATGGTTCTGTAAACACATATCTCACCTGGTTGGTGGTTTGGAACATGAATTTTATTTTTTCTATATATTGGGAATAATCATCCCAACTGACTAATATTTTTCAGAGGGATTGAAACCACCAACCAGTCACTGGCTTATTAAATCTTGCGGCTCAATCCAAGCTGAAACTGAAGGCAAACTGGCAGCAAGAGCAAGATTGAAGTTGTCTCAACACGAGAGGTCTCATAGGTGCAGTGAGTAACACTGTACTGAGCATTCACATTTTCAAGACATGTTTGCCTATTGTATTGGGCGGCAAGCAGAAATGAGCTTCCACACAGAAAATTTTCGCATCACTTGGGAAATCAGCCTGGGCATCAGCCTGCGTGCTACCATGGGACGGGTGCTGCTAGCTCCCCAGTTTCTGCGAGTGCGATTTGGGCGCTGTGTGCGCCTAGGCAGAGTATGCTGATTGCATGGGAAAACAGACTTTTGAGGACTCACTTGGGGCTAATGTGAAGAGTTTCGAGGAGTTTCAATGCGATCTCATGATGTGGTGTCGAAACGCAGGTGCCTGCGCTGCATTACCACCATATCTTGGTGTGAGACCCAGAGGTGTCTTCAAGACTCAGGGACCTGTGTGAAGATATTTGAGGTGTGACCAAATACAGACTGTATCCCCAAAACATAGAAAAGTAAACCACCATACAATTAGCAGGGATTTACTATGGTTTACAATTCGATCGGGGATGACTTTACATCTCCAGTCTGCAATCTGCAATCTGCCGCCAGGCGTGTTTTGGTTGGTACGGCCTGCGGTCTCCTCAATCGGCTTTGCTTTGAGAGAAAACGGTGATGACTTGTCATCTGAGGGATTGTTTACATGCCCCAGTTTTGATTGGTTAATACTATAGTCAAATCTAATTGAGTTAATATCTCCAGTAGTTTTGTTGTACTTTATATATAATATATATATATATATGTATTTTCTTGATATCCATGGCCATGATATCATGATATTCCTTTTTGAAAAACGATGAAACTTCAAGCATTTGATCCCGGTTCACCACCGTGAAACCACCAGCCGAGGCCTCAACTTGGGCAAGTCCAGCCGCAGGTACGACCTCCACGGAGATGAATGCAGAATAAAGACATAACTTCTTGACATAACTTGACATAACTTGACAGGTAAACTAACGTAACCATGGAAAGATCCACCATTCTTAATGGGTAAATCTAGCTATGTAAACGTTTACCAGAGGGTAACTGCAGAGGTGTTCCGTTTTGTTTCAATTGGGAAGCAATGAATTTGATCCCGGTGGCGGAGGTCAAAGATGGCCCAGTGCAGAGAGGTCCACTGGATGTTTGACGGCCCAAAGCTTCGCTAGGACCAAAGATGCAGTTCAGATCATCCTCAAAACGACTCTTCTGTTCTCGGAAGTTGCAAAACTCGCTCGTCATGGAGTGAGCTGAGCAGGTGACAAGCAGTCAAATGGTGCTTTCTTATTTGATTAAATTTGATTATATTTGATGATATTTGGTAAGTTTGGCAAGTCATGGGTTGTGTCGGAGGCTCCAAAAGCTCGGCAGCAGTCTGTCGCTGGAAGTGAGTCCGGAGGACCGAGGCGAGCCTCGTTGCGGCGCGGTTTTTTTTTTCCAACCCGGGTACCCCTCTGGGCACCTGAAAAAGACCAGAAACTGGCAGAATCTGGCAGCAAAAATAGTTAACTTAGTTGGGAGCCCCAAGAGTTTGACAAGTCTGAGCCCAGGATGTCTCAGATGTTCTTTTTGTTGTTGCATGAAGGAATGTTTTTGGGAAATGGACATCAGAGGTATCTCAAAACAGATGCTGTGTAGAATAACAGATGATCTTGTCAAGGAATATAAAACACTTGTATAGCACCAAAAAGGAGAGATATGGCCAGATATCAAACAGATAAGAGGAGGACATCCAGCAACATGACATCTGCAGGCGGCAGAAAAGTGTGTCAACTTCTTTCCAGAGAGCATTTTCCGCCAAAGAGCCTGAAACTTTTCGTCGCCAAAAGCAGTCGCCAAAATTGTCACTTGAAATATGCTGTTGCTATTGAAATATGGTTTTTTCCATGACAGTCTCAGGGTCATTCATCCCATGCTGAGGTTGCGTTTTTGTGAACATGGTGAAGACGACATCGGAGCACTTTAGCAATGTAGCGGAGACCACTGGCGCCTTGTCGGCTGCAGGCGAGAATGGGCTGTTGAAAGAGTTGCAAAGGTCATGAATCAAAAGATCTGAAACGATTAGGACCATTAGGATTCATGATTCATGGTCATTCGTTTTCTGATACTATAACGATCATTAATTGAAGATTCTGGTTCAAGAATGATACACGAGTGTATGCATGATCGCCAGCCGCAGACGGGTGCTTTTTTTTCGCGGCAGGATTTGATCCCATTCCGCACCTGCCCATTTCTCGACTTTCCACTGTCGAAGACTTTCACTTGACCTTGAAGATGCTCACCCAGGTCAACAGAAACTCTTGGAGGAACTTCTCGGTGTTGAAGAAACCCAGTCAGCGACCAAACTATACAAAACTCTTCAAAGTCTGTTAAAGTCAGTATATTGTATTATAATTATACTATACTATACTACACCATACTATACTAATACTAATACTAATGCTAATACTAATACTAATGCTAATGCTAATACTAATACTATATCATACAATATTATGGATATCATTCTTTTCTATATTCTACTAACTATTCCCAAGCATTTTTGAAGTCTTCTCAGCTTGGCAGAGCTTGGCAGGCCGGTGCCAAGCATCTGCTCCTGGTGGGAGGCAATGACCTTCCACAGCGCCTTGAGCGCAATGAGCTCCACTATCGTGAGGAACCCCAGCCCACTTGGACTTTGCTGCGGTTTCCTTCAAGGGCCACTAGATCATGTGAACTTGAAATATCAGCGGTGACTGCTGCACAAAGAGATGCACAAGAGGAGGACGTCGTTTTTTTTCGGAAACTTGGGGGTGCAGTTCCAGTGAAATTCGTGGGCACGCTTTTTTGGTCAAGCGATAAAAAACTGTGTCGACTTGTGGTACCATGGGTTTATCTACCCCAACTGCACCCCCAATGGCCCAAGTATCTCCAGGTTTAGGGTTTGATTTTGCCGAGAGTCGACTGTGTCGATTCCCGGCTGGGCCTCTGGGCCGGGCTTGGCGGCTAAGGTAGTGTGGCTGACCTGCTGAAGGCCGAGATCGAAACCATCAAGTCAGAGGGAATCCAAAGTGTTTCCCTCGCTGGCTTGCCAGATAGTCCCTCGGTGCAGGTGATGTCATGATTGTCGCGGACCAGAGTTTTAGATTGATCCAGAATCATTCAAGCCTGGCAGAATATATATATATAATAGATAGATAGATAGATAGATAGATAGATAGATCGATAGATGGAACTTATGGTCACGAGAGACGGGTAGTCCGCTCGCCGAAGAATCCGCTCGCATTGGGTGTATTTCTGATCGCCTCAAGGCCCTCAATGGCGTGGCTGGAGTGAAAAGGCCAGCCGGCCAGTCGGCCAGTTGGAGTGGTCTTAGTGGCTTGTTAAAAGATACTAACATCACTGTGAATTCACATTTATTCCATAGTTTCATATATTTTCTGTAGTTTGTTCAGTATGTTACTATAGTTCTCTTCCCATGTGTTTTCGGTTTCGGTTTCGGTTTCCACAGTATCACGATATTTTCGGTTTCGGCTCAATTTTCCCCTCGGATCCTTCATTTTTTTTCAGTAGCTGCACGAGGCTGCTACGAAGGTTCTTGTCGACAAAGCGCGATTGGCTTAGTGCATCGACAGCCCAGAGTGCCCAGAGTTGAATGATAACGATTCATCAATAGAGGGACATGAGCAAAGATTGTATATATATATATGTATTCGATTCGCAGAGGAACGCCTGAAAGAGAGACTAGAATCTGGAAAGCAGTGGTGTGTGAAAGTGCAGGGCTGCCATTTGGGTGTCCAAACAGTCCACATGACGGAAAAACATGATGAAAGAAATGGATGATCGCCTTGATGTTTCGGAAACACGTTGGAATCGGAAGTGTCTGGCTTCCAGGCGACTGGTCCTTCAGGCTGGTTTGAAGGTAGTGGTCCTGGCCTTGTCTGATGGTGCCCTTTTTAAAGGCCCAGAAGTCGTAGAAGTCGTGGTTCTGAAGCCGTTCTCACCTGAGGTGGCCACTCAATTCTGCTTCAATCCCCGGCACTTGCTGCAATGGCTTCGGGATGCCACTGCTGCTTTGGAGGACAGCGAAACAGCTTAGCATGGCTTAGCTAAGACACCAAGTGCCAGTGCCATACTGCTATGAGTTACTATGAGTTACTGAGTACTCAACTACTCCGAATTTTTCTGGATTTTCTGTCGGATCAAGGCCTTGTGCATGTTTTTTTTTGGCATTTTCCCAACAGTTCAACTATGGCTTCAGGAGCTGCAAAAGGAGTTGGGCGTAGCTCACCGAGTGAGCTTTCGCATCGGCGTCCCGGGACCGACTCGACTTCGGAAGTGCGCCAAGCGGGAGCCAAGTGCGCAGCCAAGTCGTGCTTGATGCGTTGCAGCCCCAGAGTCTTGTGCAGGTTGCGACGCATCGCAGACATCTGTCAGGTGCGTTGTGTATTGATGGTGTAGATATCGTGAGGTCACGAGGATGTGAGAGACATCTTGAGAGCGGCTCTATTCACAGCGCGCCCATGCTTTTTTTTGCAGTCTCGGGTTTGGATTTTGTGTTGGAAGGTGCCTCGTGACTTCTTGCATCCCAGCATGTTCGACATGGCCCTACAAGGAGCCACTAGAGTCTGCAGCCTAAGGATCTCAGGCTTAACTGCCACCAGAAATTGAAGATGTCGCCGTCCAAGCCGTCCAAGCCGTCCAAGCCGTCCAAGCCGTCCAAGCCGTCCAAGGTGAGTCCCCGGGACCTGGAACATTCCTTTGACTCTCTTGGCAGACGACTCAGATGACTCAGATGACTCAGATTGAAACACTGATGAGCCATCCATGCCATCCCATTTGACCCATTTGACCACAACGCGTTAGGACCGTTAGGACCGTTAGGACCGTTACTGTTGAGTTTTTGTGACCTGAGGCCTTGGGAGAACACAGAGATCCGCTACTCCAGAACTTAGGTGGCAGAGGGTCTGAGATTGCAAGAATTGTGTAGCATTTGAAAAACGTTGGTGGAGCTAAGGCTTAAGAGTTACCCCATCATCTCCAGCCTGTTCCCAGCCCTCCAACATTATTTCAAGACAACAACTTCTCCAAAGCGTGGGAAACGCTTCTGTCAATGGAGCCATGTTGTACCCTCACAAAAGTTATGCAAGCACCTGTGTGCGCTTAGCACAAAAGTTACACTTGCATTCCCCTAAACTCCAAATGTTTACTCTCATCCCCCCTATGATTATGGTTCAAAAATGTTCAAAATGGATCTTCATCCCCTTGTACAAACGGTTTTGATATTGTTTTGATCATTTTCGATCCATCCCAACCATTGAAATAGCCATACTTAGCCATACCCGAAAAATCACCCGTCACCAGCCGCTGGTGCAGGGCCGCGCTCTTTTTGGAGACCTGTGGAGCCGATGGGCTGCTCGGCCGCCCCGAGCTGGCGGAGCTCCTCTGCCGCGACGTCCAGGCGGAGCTGGAAGCAGCGGCGCGCCCGGCGGCGACGGACGCGGCGGACGCTGCGGCGGCCTCCGGGCCGTCAGCCTTCGTGGCGCACGAGGCTACCTGGGGATGAAACCTACGGGCTTGGGATGGCCTGGGGGTAGCTATGAATGGGATAAGGGCACTCTCAATGGCTCTGAGTGGAAGAAATAGAGTGAAACCATTTAGGGAGTTGGAAAAACGGTGAACGCATGCGATTGAAACATTTTGAAACTCATGAACCCTTTTTAATGGTGCTGTTGGCATTAAGGTTGGGATTTTGAGGGAGTGTTCAGTGAAGGAGAGACTTGCGGATTTGTTCTAGACATTCGCAAAGTTAGCCTCTTTTTTAGTCCCTTTTTCCTACCCTCAAAGTAACACCACGCCACTTTTCCATTGTCCAAGTCTCGTAGGATCAGGTCTGTCCATGACTGTCCTATGAGATTTTGCAGGAAGAGGCAGCCGAGGATGCACTGCTTCCAGAGGAGCATCATCATTTGCAAAAAGTCGGGTGAACTTTGCCAGTCTTATTGATATTTATCGATCTTATTGCCAGTCTCATTGTTTATGAACTTCTTCGATTTCTCATCATCTTGATTTTTCATCTCCAAATTGATGAGTTGCTCTCGTTGCTTTGCACGCATTCTCCCCGGAACTGTCCATTTTCGAGGATATCTTGTGGACGGCCGTCGCCGCACAGACCGGAGCCTCCGTCGACATCGGCGTCCGGAGCCTCGGAGCCTCGGAGCTTCGTTTTCTGCCGACTCGTCGCTCTAGGTGAATCTCTACCCTTTCGGTGGCTTGGCGGACAGCTTATCCCTCGCCAGAGCCTTGAGGCGAGGCCGAGACCTCCTTTTCTTTGCATGGAAACACATAGAAACACGACATGCTGTCATGATTCCATGAGTCATGCTGCATTTTTTTTCCAAATAATCCGGATGTCGATGCACTATGTGACTATGTCATTTTGTTCATCATGTGGCCGTCCCATCATACACGCCTTGTGTCTGCTAGGGAAGGTAAGACTCCTGGTAGCCTGACTGAAGCTGCTTGATGCGCTTCCAGCGCAGACAAAAGACAGAAGCACAGTGCATCACAGTGCCGGACATGGGGATATCCCAAACATGTTCCAAAAATGTCCCAAAAAAAGTGGATACCCGGCCACCAATTGGTTTGCCTACTCGAGATCGACTTTTCTGGACGGGGCTACAATTTTGCTACAGAAATGTGAGCGATTTCCACATGTTTTGGTGAGGAAACGCTGACTGTTCGCCCGACACGAATTTTGTTTGGTTCAGAGACATGTCCACAGTGTGACACGTGTGATTCCGATAAAAAGCATAGCTGGCATAGCTGGTCTCCGATTGAAACAACTTTTTTTAATCATTCGAGCAGAGTTTGCAGCATTGGCAGCAGACTTCGAAAAAGCATGCTTGTGTTCTTCATCCTAAGCTCAACTAAGATCAACTAAGCTCTTTATTCTTTGTCCGTAGATTTTATGAAATTTCACCACGGAGCAAGCCCGTCCTTTCTGAATTGCGAGAGCTTCAAGAGCTTGAGCATGTGATTATCCACAACAGCCACAACAGCCGAACCAACGTCATGAATGTCATGTGAATATCATGATTCATGGTACGTGAGCAGAGTTTCAAAAGTCGCCCAGGGCACCCCAATTTTAGTGAAGAGAACGATGAAGGTTTGACTGACCTACGACACAAAGGAAACGAAGGAAGTGATGAAAAATCGCCAATTTGGGATGATCTTTACACTTCACCACGACCCTGTGAGCCAAGTGAGATTGAGAAAGAGCTGCGTTCGTAGCGTTGAAACAGATGCCAAGGCAGACTTGTCCAACACTTAAGGGAAACACACATGAAAAAAAACACCAAATCCAGTGGTTTATCAAAGCATCTCAAATTTTCACCAAAATTTCTCAGATTTTCAAAAAAAAATGGCATCTTTTTGGGGAGTAAATTCCCACATTTCCAGCGCCAAAAACAATGCCTTGGCGCTTCGAAACCACGGCCTCGACGCTATCGGTTCCATCCTTGTGCGGAGATCTTCACATGGGACAGAGTGGCAATGCTATGGCAAGGTGGAGGAAAACTGAAGTCCAGTTCTTTCGAATATGAATTTGACATAATTTGACCAAGTCTGATCCATTGCCGGCAATTTGGGTATTTTCAGGAAACACACCTACCGAAACCTCCTGAAGGGTCCCAGCATAGTGCCTGAAATGCCTGAGTATGGCCTGCGAGTTGCTTCCAATCGCTGTGGTGAATGTGGGGACTCGCTGGTGCTGCGTGGCATGTCTTTCTTCTGGCGGAAGATTGGCAGATCATGGCAGATCAATGTCATCGCCATCGGTGTCCATGAAGGCGGCGACGTCGGCGCTGGTGCTCTGGCTGTCGATGTCGGCTGCTGTCGCTTGTGGCATTTATGTCATCATTGATTTTCACTACTCACTGAGAATCTGCAGAAAGTGTTGCAGTTTTTCCATGCCGTTTCCAAAGAGTATGGCCAATACCATCATGTGATTTTGGAAATCTGGAATGAGCCGAAACCGCCGCAGAACTGGAACAACATGGTCACCTACAGCCAGGCTCTGTGAGAGATCCGGGAAACATCCAAAAATTTGGTGCTGATTCCCACCACAATGGTCTTCAGCTGCTCCTGCTATCTCCACTGTTGATGCCAACGATGATAGAATTGGCTTCAGCATGACATGAACAATGAGGAGCACATGGGAAGATGCCCGTGACGTTGTCATGGTGCCGTGACTGGCTGAAGTTCCTGAAGCTTCAGATTGGACACGTGTGGAACGTCTGTGACAGGGTGAAACTCATTCTGCCTTGAAACCAGCCTGCCTGCTGGTTGGACACCTGATCATTTGACAAAGAATAGCCAGTTCATGAAACAACTTCTGGAAGCTTGAAGCTGACTGATTTGCTGCTTGGCTGAAGCAGGTGACCAGCGCCGCCAGAACGGGCAGGCCGCGGATTCTCTCAGTGACTCCTCCACTCCGTCCATACTGTGGGGCCAACCACACTTTGCACAGGATTGGAAACTCGAGAAGGGAGGAAAGTTCAGTGACCCGACTTTCACTTTGAAGGTGAACACGGCGCTTGTGTCGGGTGAAGGTGCAGAGCGCAATAGGTGCAATAGGAGTTCCTTGGATTCGCTGAAGGTGAGCTTTTCATTCCCAAAGGGTGCTTTGCACTTTGGGGAAGCTGGACTTTTCATTGAACGAGTGAATCGATTTAGACTTTAGACTCTTTAGACCTTTCAATCTCGTCATTGAACGAGGCCTTAGCTCATGTGAATCTGCGAATGTCACAAGGCTTTAGCCTTGTGGCGTTCCCCAGAGTCCCAACAGCGCGGCACCAAAAGTGGTATAACTGGTATAACTGATGATGTTCCAAACTCCAGATGTGGATTGGCCTTCACCTTGTCGTGATTCTGAATGGAAATCTTGGCACTTCACCGCTTAGTGCCGCAGGGTGCGCAGGGTGTGGCTGCGGCATGTGAGAGGCCAGGGTGCCAGGGTCTCTGCGAAGTCGTACTGCGAAGTCGTACTGCGAAGTCGTACTGTGTGAACAGAGTCAGAATTTTGACGAGACATCGTGTTGTAGACACAAACTAAAGGCACCATTGGCAGAAGGACTTTGAGATCCGCTACATCCCCATCTCCACTCGATCCACCTGACAGGTCGCTGTCGCTGAAAGTTGGTGCCACCAGTCTTCCCTCGTGCCCTTAACCAGTCGTGACCAGCAGTGACATTTGGAGAACTTGCAGCACAAGAGAATCTCAACGTCATGAATTCATATGATTTCGATAGAGTTTCCACGGAAGTTCCAATGAAAAACGTGTCCAATACTGCTCGCACTGCTCCTCGTCCTGCGACATAGCTCACTTTTGGCTTGTTTCATAGGACAGCACACGACTGAGTCGACATGTTTGAGCCCAGCAAATTCATACATGAACTGGATCAGGATGGATCATTAACCATATAATATCATATAATAACCATATATTAACCATTATTAACAGTATATAAGTAGTATATCAAACATCTGATCGCTGCAATGGCTAGCGATCAGTTCTCCCTGTGACGATGCAGGCCTGCTGCGTTTGGTAACAAGAAAACACCAGTTAAACAGGTCTGGAAAGGTACAGAACAAAACAGGCGACGGTGGTTTAACTGGTGAAACAAGATGAAATGCGACCAGTGGTAGGACCTGACACTGATGAATCAAACTGCGTCCAGAGTCCAAAGCTGGGATGGCTAGCGATGTGAAACTCCGGGGTCTCATGGAGTCTCCATTCTTAAGACGATTTCACATGATTTTACAGTAGATTTTCCGGATTCTGAAGTGGCCCCAGGTGCGTAGTACCCGGGACCCCAGGTGTGATGTTTGATGTGCCAGGCAGACGTGGAACAAGTCCTTGAGGAGCCGACATCGACTGTGTCCTGTGACTTCCCACTTCGTTTTGCTCCTCCCGAATTCCAAAAACCTGGTATACGGTTCAGTATACGTCGTCGATCGAGTTGATCGTAGTCTTCAAACATGTCGTATGGGTCAATATTTGGATTCCTGGTTGAGATTCCCCAAGTCCCGCAAGGAAGGTGCAACCACAATTATGCTTAGATCTCTGCCATCTTCAACCACTACAACAAGCTTGATGAGAATGTTGGGTCAACCCTTCGTCGGCTCTTGCGACTTTCTGTATCTGCCACGATGTACCCGACAACGGCATCGCATCGTGGAGATGGCATTTATAAACTTCGTTGATCACAGCTTCGCGAGACTTGCGGTGCGGCTCTTTCGAGAAGCAGCGACCATGATCCAATCTTGGTCGCGGACAAGGGTGAGTCAAGCAAGGATTCAAGGCAGGCTTGTTGCCAAAAGTTGGCTCAACATGATTAAGAGCAACCCGCATGTTGTATGGTGAAACGAGGGTCGCAACCCTTTTCCACACTTTGCTGGTCACTTCGCCAGAAATACGATTATAATACCAGTAGTACCGCACAAGGCGGTGGCGGAAGTTTCGGCAAGCCCACCCCAAAACGACTTTGCTCTACAGGCCTGGGGCCCAATCTTGCATACTTCGTCCTTCGATTTGGCGAAGGAGCAATGCGGGAGCCAGACGCCCCTGTGGTCTTTGTGAATGGCGTCCCTGCTTCTTTGGAGGATCAATGCGCTACTCGTATCACCGAAGAAGCCATCAGATTTGCACGTTGGGTTCTTGAGGAAGAATCTCAACCCAGACGGAGAGACAGAGACCAAATCCTCCGAGACATGTCTTCTCAGCCACCAGGCGAACGTACAGATGCGCGGGAAGAACCGGAACCGAGCCTTGACAAAACACAAAGTTTTTGAACATTCTACAGGATCTTTTAATGTTGTTACTTAAGTCACTTTGAACATTGTGTACATTTTCATTTTTTGTGGTTTGACCCGCGTTGCCTTCGACATCTGTTTGGCGTTGCGTTGGGCGGGCGGTTTAAGTTTAAACGTTTCAAGCGCGGAGGATTTATGTGGAGCCAACCCTGCGCGAAGATGAACTCCGGGAGCTTCTGCGGCGCCAGCAAGAACGCTTTGGATATGCCATTTTTAGACTATGACATGAGTTATGACGTTGTCATGATGAGCCCAGAAACAGTCCAGGCACGGTGAAAGTTTGGAGCGTTGACATGAATTTGATATATTCTACAGTATTATATATTATATACAGTATATAATGTATGTGTACATGTATGTGGCCAAGCAATGCCAACCTTTTATATAATATATTAATGCACATATATGCACATCATATTTTGATATATGTTGATAGACCCGACATGACATGGCAATCTTGAGTCCTTTGTGGAAGTCCGGCTTGTCTATCAGTGAATGTTGTGCCAGTGAATGGTTTCTACCAATCCGACCCGCCACATCTCTGGCAAGGACTCTTATTGGAAACCTGCACAGAGATGTGCTCAAAAAAATCGCCTGCACTTTGGAGCATCGGTGAGCAGCTCGATCTCCATCTCCAAAGGTCAATCCGGC